CATGACCGGTTTGGCGGTGGGTCAGTCATGGTGTGGGGTGGCATTTCTTTGGGGGGCCGCACAGCCCTCCATGTGCTCGCCAGAGGTAGCCTGACTGCCATTAGGTACCGAGATGAGATCCTCAGACCCCTTGTGAGACCATATGCTGGTGCGGTTGGCCCTGGGTTCCTCCTAATGCAAGACATGCTAGACCTTATGTGGCTGGAGTGTGTCAGCAGTTCCTGCAAGAGGAAGGCATTGATGCTATGGACTGGCCCGCCCGTTCCCCAGACCTGAATCCAATTGAGTACATCTGGGACATCATGTCTCGCTCCATCCACCAACGCCACGTTGCACCACAGACTGTCTAGGAGTTGGCGGATGCTTTAGTCCAGGTCTGGGAGGAGATCCCTCAGGAGACCATCCGCTACCTCATCAGGAGCATGCCCAGGCGTTGTAGGGAGGTCATACAGGCACATGGAGGCCACACACACTACTGAGCCTCATTTTGACTTGTTTTAAGGACATTACATCAAAGTTGGATCAGCCTGTAGTGTGGTTTTCCACTTTAATTTTGAGGGTGACTCCAAATCCAAACCTCCATGGGTTGATAAATTTGATTTCCATTGATAATTTTTGTGTGATTTTGTTGTCAGCACATTCAACTATGTAAAGAAAAAAGTATTTGATAAGATTATTTCATTAATTCAGATCTAGGATGTGTTATTTTAGTGTTCCCTTTATTTTTTTGAGCAGTGTAGTTCCAGCAGGCCAAGGTAGGAGAGTCAGACACACGCACATGCAACAACATCACTCACACTTCCGGTATTGGAGTTGTTGGTTCTGTGGGTCAGGCATATGGGGCACCAGCATCCTCCTCCTGAATCCTCCTCACGTCCTTGGGATATGTTGCCTCCTCTGGATTTGAGGTCTTACCAATGCCTTGCCCAGCTCCTCGAGAAAGAGCCATCTCCTCTGGAGCTTCCCTCTGTTCCAATCTGGGTTCAACGCCATCCAGATGACAAACGTGTTGTACGCCGTGATGTCCAAGATGTTGAAGAATATCACAAGTGGCCAGCGTATGGTTCTTCTTTTGCAGCTGGAACCAGCCACCAGCTTGTCTAAATTGTCCACCTCTCCTTTTGTGGCATTGTAATCCATTATGATTTCTGGTTTTTGATGTTCCTGGCCACAGATTCTCTCATCCCTATGCAGCGTACTCACATTTTTGTCTTTCTTTGGCACGTAGGACACTAGGGACGTGTCGGCCGTGAACACAAACTTAGAGGAATTGATAGGCCTGTTCCGTGTGTTCAACAGCTGAGGTGTGAGCTCTGGCTTGTTTTTTCGTATTGTTCCTACCATCGTCAGCTTCCTCTTGAGGAGCTCCTGTCCCAGCTTGTGTGAAGTAAAAAAGTTATAGCATGTGATGTTGTGGCCACGGAGTCCCTGTGTCACGTCCATGACAACCCGCATCCCTTGGTTCTTCTCAGGGGCTCCTCCATCTGGCTTCCCCGTGTACACTTGCAAGTTCCCCGCATATGATGAAGCAGCATCACAGGCAGCCCAGATCTTGATTGCATATTTTGCGGGTTTAGACGGTATGTACTGCCTGAAGGGGCAGCGGCCCCTTAATGGCATAAGCTGCTCATCAACAGTAATGTTGGGCTCAGGGTTGTAAAACAGGGGAAGGCGGTCCACCCACTTGTCCCACACTGACCTGAATGCAGTTAGCTTGTCTCTCTGCCGCCGAGCTGGTCTGGTGTCTCGGTTATCGAAACGGATAATCCTGGAAATAATGTGGACGTTTTCCAGAGACATTTATGCACAGAAAAGTTACCTGCCAGTTTTTGCATCCCACAGGGATTCTGTGGATTCCCCATTGGATCTGAAAACACCAGCAAGGATAAGAACCCCAAAGTATGCATGTAAATGAGTTTGGTCCATCTCCTTCCATCTCTCTCCAAAAACACACCTACCCTCCAAATTAGTGCAGTCCAGAATTATTTTCTGGATGGTGTCTGGGATGAATAGTTCAAAAGAAGACTTTATGTCCTGCACACGAGTAACCGCCATCTGCGTCGGCCCTGGTTGCATCCTTAGCACATTGGCAGCCATGCGGGGTGGCTCATTCCTTGGACAAGAAGACCATTCAAATGTCACCATTTTTTGACATCCATATTCTCCTCCTGCAGGCTGCTGATGAGGTGGTTGTTGATGGGCTGGTGCTGGGGCTGGCTGCTGACGGGCTGATCCTGGGGCTGGCTGAGGGTCAATCTCATCCTCTTCTTCTAACTCACTGTCAGACTCCGAATTGACAGAGACATGATCCTCATATTCGGAAAATTCTTCATCTTCCAAAGTGGAAGAAGCTCCTTCCACACTAGCTTCTCTCTCTGCCAAAATTATTTCTAAGGCCCTACTGAGCAGAGATTATTTTTGCCATACTGATTGATTGTGGTAAGGAGCCACAGATGCAAAGCTATTTATTTGTTGTGTCCCTCCACCAATTTGCACCTGGCTTGGGTAGAGTGTATCAAAATAATGTATCAAAATAATGTATTGTAATATCATTGTGCAGGTTCCCGCAAGACATTGTGTAGTTTCACACACTACAAAGGGTAAAGAGTGTAGGAAAAGCGGGAGACAGGCAGACAGGCAGGGAGGCAGACAGACAGGCAGGGAGGCTGACAGACAGGCAGGGAGGCTGACAGACAGGCAGGGAGGCAGACAGACAGGCAGGGAGGCAGACAGACAGGTTCTTGGTGCTATATTCAGGCAGCAGGCCCAGGGAGGAGGAGGACAGAGTGAAGGCACACAGCAAACCTTTTTGTTCCAGTGGACCCAAACACCACATATGTAATATATATGTGTAGGGGGGTGCACAGTGTACACCCAATGAAAATGTGTTATTTACATGTTCTTCACAGAAAACGAGCCAAGGCCAATGAGTCTCAGGTTGAAAAAATAATTAATTGTATCATTTTTATTTTAGGAAACATTGAAAATGGGTCCCACAGACCTGAACACCACACAAGGGATAAACCAGCGGAAACTGTCTAAGAAATCTTACGCAACACATCAGCAACCTTCCTAGCCTGACTGTTGTTGTAAAAAAAAACATGTTACTTGTGCCTTAATCTATCCCTTTCGGTTCCTTCCCTCTTTCCTGTCATCCCCAGTGATCTGACAGGACACACATATTTTTGTAAATCGAGAACACAGATCAGTCATTTCATGTGCTAGCTCTACTGACAAGAATAAGGCTGGAAGCAAATATGACATGACGAAATCTGCCACTGCTCTGCTTCTCTCTTCTTTTTTCTCTCTCTCTGCCTCTCTCTCCCTCTCCCTCTCCCCTTCTCTCTCTCCTCCACCCTCTCTCCCTCTCTCTCCCCCTCTCTCTCTCTCCTATCCCCCGTCTCCCCTCTCTGTCCCTTCCTATCCCCCTCTCGCTTCTCCCTCTCGTCACTCTCTCTGCCAGAAGACTCCTCTGAAAACTCTACTCCCTCTCTTCCGTCTCTGCTCCCCCTCTCTCTCCTCTTCACTCTCTTCCCTCTCCTATCCCCCTCTCTCCCTCTTTAGTTCCTCCACTCTCTCCTCCCTCTCTCCCTCTCCTATCTCCCTCTCTCCCTTTTTCTCTCTATTGTATCCTCCTCCTCTTCATTCTACATCTCATTTGCTATCTACCCCTGTTTTGCCCTATTCAGACCTACAATTACCCAGCTTTACTTTCCTTAAGGTTGCCTGTGTCCTGCAATTAGGAGCATGTCATTTCCTGGCATGGACTGTGGCCTGCTTGTCTTTAATTAGCCATCCTCCCTCCTTCCCTCCCTCAGTGTCCAGGCCCTCCCTGGCCTCTCTGCCGTCCGAGCTGGCCTCACCATGTCCCTGGCCAGGCTGACTGGAGATCAGAGATCAGGGCCGGAGGCTCTGTGACTCACTCTCCACACTAAATTAAGCTTGGTATGGAGAGCTAAGGCTTTGTGTTTTTTTTAATAACTACGGCCTAGAGTTTTTCCTGATGGTATTACATGGTAAGAAAAAACTGGCTGTATGGATGGCTTCATCTAGAGGTCAGAAAGGGCTTGGTAAAATGAGGACAGTATCTTCAACCATTAACTTTAACCCTATTGGCATAAACAAACCACAGTCACTGATGTCATTATGTTTTACAAATTTTAGCAGATGCGCTTATCCAGAGCGACTTACAGGAGCAATGAAGGTGAAGTGCCTTGCTCAAGGGCACATCAACAGATTTTCACCTAGTCAGCTCGGGGCTTCAAACCAGCGACCTTTCGGTTACTGACCAACACCCTTAACCCCTAGGCTAACTGCTGCCCTTCAATTAACTGACATTGGGTCAAGGTTCTAGCTAGAGGAGGTAAACGCCTCCTTTTGTTATTACGTGGCACAAAGAATTTGATGGTGGCCTTACCTCATCCTGCATGCTTCCTCTAATACAGGGTCTTACCTCATCCTGCATGCTTCCTCTAATACAGGGTCTTACCTCATCCTACAGGGTCTTACCTCATCCTGCATGCTTCCTCTAATACAGGGTCTTACCTCATCCTGCATGCTTCCTCTAATACAGGGTCTTACCTCATCCTGCATGCTTTCTCTAATACAGGATCTTACCTAATCCTGCATGCTTCCTCTAATACAGGCATAGCATGTGAGATGAGATGCTGCTTATGAGGTCATAAAGAACAGAAGGGTCAAATTCAAATGTCCCGTCTCTTCATAGCTCTCGAAGACTGCTGGGAATGCAATTTTACACATCTGATCTCACCACACAAACCTCTACCCCCCCCACCCCTCTCCACTACCCTATATACCTCTCCCAGCCTCAATTCCTATCTCGTTCTGCTCCAGCGGTGAGTCACTTCAGCCCCTCAATATACACCTCCCCACCCTCCTGACTCCATCCCCCCATCCCCTGTGCACTGAACCACCTTCTATCCCCCTCCCCCCTCTCCTCCTCCTCCCCCCTGCTCCCCAATATTACCATTACCATGTTGTTAAATGACCCCAATGTTCCCCCTGCGTGGCTCCCAGGAGGGTTTAGGGTTGGGGGGATCCAGGCCCCCTTGTTCTACTGAATGACTCCTTTCTGAGTGTTCACAGTCTGTGACCAGCTGCTTTCTATTCGCACTGTGTTAATAGGATGTCCAATGGAGAGAGACACACAGAGGCTTCCCACAGGCCTACCACTGATACAGCATATCTTTAACATGACCGGAGAGCTGCCTCTAAAGGAATGTTGCTCCTATGGTCGCCACAAATGGAATTGATTATCATTGAGCTCCCATGTGTAAAGAGTAAGAGCATCTATGGATTTTCAGACCGCCTTTATTAGAAATCAATCAGCTAATTGAGAGAGAATGGGTGAAAGTAATAACCTTTCTGACTCGAGAATTGGGTGTTATAATTGCAGTGCGGTTGAGCTAAATTACATCTAAGGTGTTAAAACTCACCGTAACCCACACAACTAGAGAGACAATCAATATACCTTTCAGCAATAGAGACTCAACAACAGGGCTATGTACCGTAACAACGTACAGGACTGTTCAAGATATCTGGTGCGTTGGCCTCTCCTTGGTAAACATGTACAGCAGCGTTTTCCAAACTCGGTCCTCAGGACCCCAAGGCCTCCACGTTTTGGTTTTTGCCCTAGCACTACACAGCTGATTCAAATAAACAACTAATCATCAAGCTTTGATAATTTCAATCAGCTGTGTAGTGTTAGGGCAAAAAAACAAAACGTGCACCCTTTGGCGTCCAGAGGACCGAGTTTGGGAAATGCTGATGTAAAGTATTTTAGTAGAGTAAGTAACAGAGTTGTGTGGTCCTACCGTGGACGGTGAGGGTGGCTGACGCCTCCGCCCTGCCCACCATGTTCTCTGCCACGCAGGTGTAAGAACCCACGTCTGCAGAGGTCAGACGACGGATCTTCAAGGTGTGGTCCTCACGGATCTCATATCTGGAATACACACACACACACACACACACACACATATTCATACCTTACTGTAAATACACACATGCTGATCATCAGACAGACAAAGGGGAGCGAGGGATCAAATAGAGAGCGAGAGAGAGAAAGAAAGGGATTGTGTTGTAATAAAGGGGCCAGAAGATGAGTCATACAGTACAGTACCTTCCCTTGGGCAGGTCTCCGTCCTCTTTCCTCCAGCGGACGGTGGGAACTGGGTCACCCCGGGCCTCACATCTGAACTCCACACTCTGGTCCACCAGCACCACCTGGCTGCCGGGACGCTTCACAAAGCTGGGTCGCTCTGCAGAGAGAGATGACATAGCACAGGACTATTCACTACTAGGTCTACAGTATGTCAGTACACTGTATCTGCAGTTATACAGGATAGTATAGCATAGTATTATATAATATACTATACAGTGCCCTCTTGAATTATTGGTACCCTAGGTAAATATTAACTAAAAAGGATGTGAAAAAATGTCATTGTTGTTTATCAGCTTGACATTACACTCAAAATATAATATGAATCTAACCTTTCATCGAGTTAAAATTGTTCAAATAAAAAAATAATTGTCATCAAGAAATAATGATTTGATTCAAAACATGCATGCCACTGGCACCCCTAGAAATTCTCATGAACAAAATCTAATTGATGTATATTCTGATTTTTGGGAACTCTTAAGTGGTCCATCCATGACCTCCTTTTTCACTGGGGTATAAATATGAGGTGACACACAGGCTAAACTTCCTTAGTCATCCATCAACATGAGACAACACACAAACGAAATGAGACAAAAGGTTGTTGACCTTCACAAATCAGGCAACGGCTATAAAAAAGATAGCTTACATGCCTGAAAATACACATCTCCACCATTAGGGCAATAATTAAGACATTTTAAACAACTGGAGTTGTGACGAATCTGCATGGAAGAGGACCCAAGTGTCTTTTGCCCCCACGCACAGTGAGAAGGATGGTTCAAGTGGCAAAAAAATGGCCACGGATCACAGATGGAGATTTGGGGTCACCAAGTCTCCGAAACTACAATTAGACGCCACCTCCATGCCAACAAGTTATTTGTCAGGGTTGCCAGAAGAAAGCCTCTGCTGTCACCAAACCACAAATGTAAGCACCTGGAGTTTGCTAAATGTCATTGGAATTTTGATTGGAACCAGGTTCTATGGTCTGATGACACTAAAATAGAGCTTTTTGGCAACAAACACCAGAGGTGGGTTTGGCGTAAAAAGAGCCATGGTCTTGCAGAAAATAACCTAATCTCCACTGTGAAGTATGGCGGTGGATCTGTGAAGTATGGCGGTGGATCTGTGAAGTATGCCGGTGGATCTGTGAAGAATGGTGGTGGATCTGTGAAGTATGGCGGTGGATCTGTGAAGTATGGCGGTGGATCTGTGAAGTATGGCGGTGGATCTGTGAAGTATGGCGGTGGATCTGTGAAGTATGTCGGTGGATCTGTGAAGTATGGTGGTGGATCTGTGATGTTGTGGTGCTGTTATTCAGGAGGGCACTGTAGTATAGTAAAGCATAGTATATCATAGTATAGTATAGCATAGTATAGTATACACTGAGTATACCAAATATTAAGAACATCTTCTTAATGTTGGGTTGCACCCCTACCCCCCCTACCCACTTTTGCCCTCAGAACAGGCTCAATTCGTCGGGGGCATGGACTCTACAAGGTGTCGAAAGCATCCCACAGGGATGCCGGCCCATGCTGACTCCAATGCTTCCCCCAGTTGTCTCAAGTTGGCTAGATGTCCTTTGGGTGGTGGACCATTCTTGACACACACAGGAAACTGTTGAGTGTGAAAAACCCAGCAGCGTTGCAGTTTTTGACACAAACCGGTGTGCCTGGCACCTACTACCATACCCCGTTCAAAGGCCCTTACATTGTTTGTCTTGCCCATTCACCCTCTGAATGGCACACATACACAATCCATGTCTCAGTTGTCTCAAGGCTTAAAAATCCTTCTTTAACCTCTTAAGGATCGGAACCTTTTTTTCAATTTTCGCCTAAAATGACATACCCAAATCTAACTGCCTGTAGCTCAGGACCTGAAGTAAGGATATGCATATTCGTGATACTATTTGAAAGGAAACACTTTGAAGTTTGTGGAAATGTGAAATTAATGTAGGAGAATATAACACATTAGATCTGGTAAAACATAATACAAACAAAAAAATACTCGTTTTCAATTATTATTATTTTTAATCATCTTTGAAATGCAAGAGAAAGGCCAAAATATAATATTGCAGTTTAGGCGCAATTTCAATTTTGTGTGTGTGCAAAGTTTCAGATTGATCTAGTGAAGCATTGCAATACTGGACTATTTTGTATCAAGTCTGCCGAAATGTGCCGAATTGGTTCATTGATACATTTTCAAGTACGTAACTGTAGAGAACATAAAAAAATGATATGGCAATACAAAATGTAAGTTTACACAGTCCCAGGAATGTCATACATGATGGATCATTAGCTTATACACTAACTTTCACACATCTAGATGGCCGGGCGGGGTGGTTGTGGAGCCAGAGACAGCAAGGGTTCAAACTGTAGAACCCAGTTCCTACATTTGAATATAAAAATTTATTTTATCAAACAAAATTCTGCTACATTTTATCTCTGGGACCCTCAGGATGACAAATCAGAGCAAGTAAATTATTTACCTTCAGAGGTGAATGTATCAAACCAGTTGCCGTGATTCGTTTTTTGTTGTTGTGCACTCTCCTCAAACAATAGGATGGTGTTTTTTCACTGTAATAGCTAATGTAAATTGGACAGTGCAGTTAGATTAACGTGAATTTAAGCTTTCTGCCCATATAAGACATGTCTATGTCCTGGAAAGTGTGCTGTTACTTACAACAGTCATGCTAATCACATTACTGCACATTAGCTCAACAGTCCCGTACACGGGACTCCGATCCTGTAGAGGTTAACCTGTCTTGTCCCCTTCATCTACACTGATTGAAGTGGATTTAACAAGTGACATTAATAAGAAATCATAGCTTTCACCTTGATTCACCTGCATAGCATAGCATAGTATGTCATGGAAAGAGCAGGTATTCTTAATGTATTGTATACTCAGTGTAGAAAAGTATAGCATAGTATAGAATAGCAGCATATTATAGCATATTATAGCATATCATAGTATAGCATAGTATAGCAATGTATAGCATAGCATAGTATAGTATGGAATAGTATAGTATAGTATAGCATAGCATAGCATAGTATAGCATTGCATTGCATTGCATAGCATATCATATCATATCATATCATATCATATCATATTATAGCATGGCATATTATAGCATAGTATAGCATAGCATAGTATAGCATAGCATAGCATAGCATGCATAGTATAGCATAGCATAGTATAATATAGCATAGTATGTGACTATACTGTATCTTTAGCACTGTATGGGGATTGAACCATCCTGCCGATCAGTCTGTAGCAGCAGTCTCAGTGCTAACATTAGCAGAGTGTTTTAGTCATCACATCTACCCTCATTGCTCTTTATCCTGATGATCTGAGAGGTCCTGTAAAAGCCTGCTGTTGCACTCCATCCCACTAGCCTTCCAGCAGCGATTGAAATAAAAATACATTTAGGAAAAAGCTTGTCAAATGAAAACAGATAGCCATCTAACCACCCCTGGCCTCTCAGGTCCAGCTCAGCTCCCTCTCCGGCCCCTATCCCTTCAGCAGAAACAAAACACACAACAACACGCAGAGCATCTCCATAGGGAACACTTAGCAGATTTCCTAATACCTTTAATCTCCCTCTCCTCCAACATTTGTTTTTTAATATTTCCCAAGGCTCAACAATTGCAACTCGATAGTTTGACCTCCCTCCACTACCTCATCCTCCCTTCTTTCTCCCGACTCTCGCACGTCCACCATCTACTCTGAGCCCATCTCCAAACATTACCCACTTCTGCTCCTACGAGCTCCTATCCTACGCTCCAGTCTACACTCATACACATCTCAGTACTCAGTCACGTCCTCTCTCAGGTGCATCCCTAGAGAACACGCTCCTGCTACTTCGATCGTACGCACCATCCAGCGACTCAGCACTCATACAAACTCTGACCATGACTGAACCGCCTTACTCTAAGCTCTCTATCTCCTATAGCATCTCTAGCCCATCATAGATCGCTACCTCTCTGACTCTCGATCTGCTCACGCGCACTCAGACTTGTAGCTCATGCCTGAACACCGAAGTAGCAGATCCGACTACTGACGCACTATAGCTGCAAGCCCATCCTGTCAGATCAGGCTCAGATCCTCCGACTCCACATATCCCTCAACCCTTCAGACTTGGCTTGAAAAAGTGTTCAGTAAGTCCTGGGGCTGTCATGAGTTTTTCTGTTGTGATGTTTACTCAAACAGGCAAAGCCATAGCTATGGGCTGAGCCCTTTGAAGCCATCTCAGTATAATTTCCATATATAATGATGTATCTTATGTTGGAAAGAAAAATACGTGGGCCCTGTTGGAGGGGATGATAAGAGTTCTAGGGGGACAGGAAGTAGAGGAAGTGGAGAGGACAGTCAGAAGTTCAGCAGACTGAGGTCAATACTGACACTATAAAGTGAGGCACCGGAGAGCTGTGGGGTCAAAGGCCAGTCATGGTGGAATGGGGCACAGCTGGCCAGAGGAGAGGTGCTAAGGTGGGTCAGTAGGGGAAGGGGGGTGGGGGGGGGGGGGGTCCAGTGGGGGATAAAAGGGGGGTCAGTAGAGGGGTGTGGGGTGCCTGGGGGAGTTCATGGTTATCTGTTAGAGTGAAGGCCATGTCACACTCCTCTTGAAGGGGTCAATGACACCGTTTAGTCTCCTTGGAGACACACACAAACAGAAACATCTGGACACTCTTCACCGCTGTACACAAACAAACAGTGAGACAGAGAGAGAGAGAGAGAGAGAGAGAGGACAGAGAGAGAGAGAGAGAGAGAGAAGAGAGAGAGAGAGAGAGAGAGAGAGAGAGAGAGTGAGAGAGAGTGTGAGAGAGAGAGAGCGAGAGAGAGAGAGTGAGAGAGAGTGTGAGAGAGAGAGAGAGCGTGTGCGTGAGTGTGTGTGAGGACGGTTACTTACCGAGCACAGTGAGCTCAGCGATCTCGCTCTCCCTCTCTCCCACCATGTTGGTCCCGACACACACATACTTCCCAGCGTCGCTTTTTCTGGCATTGGTTATCATCAGCTTTCCTCCCCGGATCTGAGGAACGAGAGAAAAGAGAGAGATGAGAGGTTAGCCCTTGAGAGGACAGAGGAGACACACTGTAATCAACTAGAGACAGAGGGCCCTGGGGTGTCATAGAGGGAACACAAAACAGCACTCCTAACATTGCAAAACATTTTCTCAGTATAAAAGCATTGCATTTCCTCACACATGGAGTTATGAATCTTTACACAACTATGACCAAAGGCATTCAGAGTTCAGTAAAACTCCATCTGTCATGTTTTGATGGGAGTACAAACTGACCAATGAATCTTAGTGAGCCATGTATGTCCTGTGGTCCATGTGATAGAAAACCAAAAGACTGTACTACTGTACTAACTGCCGTCAGTGGTGTAAAGTACTTAAGTAAAAATACTTGAACGTACTACTTAAGTATTTTTTTAGTGTACCTGTACTTTAATTTACTATTTATATTTTTGACAAGTTTTACTTTTACATTCCTAAATAAAAATAATGTACTTTTTACTCCATACATTTTCCCTGACATCCAAAAGTACTCATTACATTTTGAATGCTTAGCAGGACAGGAAAATTGTCCAATTCACACACTTATCAAGAGAACATCCCCGGTCATGTTCCCTCTGATCTGGCGGACTCACTAAATACAAATGCTTCGTTTGTAAATGATGCCTGAATGTTGGAGTGTGCCCTTGGCTATCCATAAATAAATAAAAAACAAGAAAATGGTGCCATCTGGTTTGATTAATATAAGAAATTGAAAATGATTAATACTTTTACTTTTACTTTTGATACTTAAGTATATTTTAGCAATTACATTTACTTTTGATACTTAAGTATATTTGAAACCAAATACTTTTAGACTTTTACTAAAGTAGTATTTTACTGGGTGACTTTCACTTTTACTTGAGTCATTTTCTATTACATTATCTTTACTTTTACTCAAGTATGACAATTGGCTAGTTTTTTTTTCACCACTGACTGCATTACCTATCCAGCCATTCTATGCTATTCTAATTCCACCTGTGGTTTTTATGGCTTCATCAGATAGTATGTTTCTGCTCAGGGCTAGCCTGGCCAAAAATCACTTCCCCAAACCTACAAACCACACTTCCCTGAGGGCACACCTGGGGCAGGGCAGATTGGAAGCATTACTCCAGCCACAAATGACTTCCAGCACAGCAATCTCCCCTACCGTACTGAGGAGAGGGTCCCAGAGAAGAAGAACATTTAGCTTTTACTTGAGTTCTTATGCACACAACATAACGCACGCACGCACGCATACACACGCATGCACGCACACACACTCTAAAAGTTGTGTTTTGTGTCCAGGACCAGGTGAGTGTGATGGCTGTTATTTCCCAGGGCTTTGATTACAGGCCAGGGGAGGTGCTTTGTTCTCAGGTACTGGGTGAGGCTGCCCGGCCCCTCTCAGGTCCTCATCAGGCCCCCAGCCCCTCTCTGAGCTGACAGCCATGCCAGTCAGTGTAGCAGCACACAATAGCAGGGGGCACCACTGATCTGCCTGCTGCAAGGGTGCTTAAGGGTTTAAGGGTTACAAACCTCAGCCCACAAGCCGACAGACCCCGGACCCCCACCCCCAGGCCTGTAACAGATCCCTTTATTAAAGACCCACTGAGGTGTGTGTGTGTGTGTATGTGTGTGTGTGTGTGTGTGTGTGTGTGTGTGTGTGTGTGTGTGTTTGTGTGTAGGGGTGTGTATGTGTGTACGCTGGGGGTGTGTGTACGTAGGGGGGAGTTGAAAGGGGTAGCCCCACACAGCATTGCGAAAGATGCCCCAAACCTGCTGCCTTTCACTGGCTGCCTTCAGTCAATCACACTCCTACATATGTATTCACTTTATGACACACTATGTAACGTATCACTAAATCTAATTAACTGTGGTCAACACTCCATGTGTGCCTGCGCTCTGCACTGTAGGTGATCTAAAAACAGGTATCACTGGCATGTGGAGAACGGAGCCTCACTTTTATTATGACACAGCAGCCTAATGAAGAGTGACACCTTGTTTATAAGCAAAACAATCCACATGACGTCTGCTAGGTAGGGGAATGACAGGTTCTAAGAACAGGGGAATATAGAAATAGAATGTCAGAAGGTTCTCAGTGGAACAACCCAACCCATCTGTTGTGTGTAGCCTAACAGCCCATCTGGGAGGAGTAGAGACAGGGAGAGGCCGTCTAACTCCTCCACTCAACTAAGCAGCCAGCTAGCCAGCGGATGGACAAGGGTCCTCCAGGGACACGACCGGACACATTCCTCAGTGTTCTGAGGCATTCTGGGACCGCTCTCGCCCTCACCGCTTGTTTACTATGAACCATAAAAACAGCCTTTAAATAGAAGACAAGGGGAAACAAGAGGAAGGGAAGAGAAGGGGCACACCGGCACTATAGAGGCCCAGGGGGTTTGAAGTGTCATTATGTTACAGTTTGTTTGAGGGAGGGCTTAACAGCTAAAGCACTGTACCACTCACAAAGGCCCAAGGTCAGGTCAGGTCAGACCACGCAGGGCAGGGAGAGGGAGGTGGACTGGAGGTCCCATAGGTCTTTGACATGAGTATCCACTTTAGGGCAAAAGCACTCCATTAGTTTTCCCACCTCTGCATGGAGGTGGCACTGTCCCATTCTGCTCAGGCATATTTGGAGTGCCTGGGCAGCGGGGCCCTCTGGAGTGGCCCAGTGTGAATGGAGAGGCCTTCCTTTCTCTCTGCACCTCTCTTTGTCTCTGTGTATATCCCCTCCACAACACAGGGGGCTGCTGAAGGCAGCACCAATCTGACCATTATCCTGCATCACAGGGAGATGGCCCTATCCCAACACCGTTTTTTGTCTCCCGTCATTGGGTAATGCTGATAGTGCAAAACCCCCATTCAGCACGCGTTGTGGCGGCATTCATGCTGCATTTCATTTTCCAGGCCGATAATCACCCTCAACTACTAAACAAAGGAAGGGGAAGACAATGCACTGTCCCACTGCTGGCTGGTTCCCTCCACACACCAACATTGGTTTAGTTCAGCCTCAAACTGTTGAGCTGGATGCCTTTTTGTTCTGTTCCATTATAAGGCCCTCATCCCCTTAACAGACTTGTTTTGCACAGGTGTGATGAATGCCTCCATGTGCTCTCAGCGGAGTAGCGGCTTGACAAAAAAAAAAGAGACCTTGCTGTGCATTGTCTTTCGTCTGTCTTATTAACTGTGGCGGCTGTGGAACACTTGTTACCACACCAGCCCAGTGCAGAGAGCTCAGCATTTCACCGCCTTGTACACACAGCTTTCTAACATACAGCAGCTAGGAGGAGCCACTGGGCAGGGCTAACATAGATAGGAGATGGCAGGGATGGCAGGTCCGGCTGCTCTCTTGTCTTCTTCATCCTGTGATGTCTGATTTCTCTGACATCTTTCTATGTCACACCCATCCCAGCCCATCCCAGCCCATCCCAGCCCATCCCAGCCCATCCCAGCCCAGCCCAGCCCATCCCAGCCCATCCCAGCCCAGCCCATCCCAGCCCATCCCAGTCTGGCCAAGCATAGCACCACACAACAAATCCCAACCGAAGGTGGGTAAGGGGGACTACCATCGCCAGGGAGACGGCAATTTCCAACACGTCTGGGGGAGGGGAGGCACCCCGTCACCTCTCATCTCCTCCCTGTCCCAACCCATCTTCACTCTGGCCCAGCCTCAGCTCTAATACCATGCCACTGACAAACACACTCTGACACAGCCCTCTCAAAATACAGCACCGCACATCACTCTGTTTTCGATTGGCATTCACATATCGGCCCATCCATTCTCCCATCTGTCAGCACAGCCCATTACACATGGACGGACCTGGTTTGTGTGTAGAGACGGTTTAAGTGTCCATGTGGACCAGTCAGTCTGTGAGTCCACATCCTACCCAGGCACTTTAGAGGAAGGAACACATCCCACGCTGCACTGTTAAATCTCTCCCTAACCAGACGGGTGTTGTGTGTTGTCATTCCCTCCCAAGGCCCAGCTCTGCAGAATACAGGATATAGACAGCACCAGTCACTGAGCCTGTGTTTATAGCAAATACTGGTTTACACTAAGATTTCACAAGTCACTGCAAAAAATCCAAAACACAACACAGAGAGGATGTTATCGTAGAAACAGCTTCTAAACAGCAGGGCTAGCAAAATGTGTGTTCTGTTTAAACGGAGTGCAATCTCATTATGGGAAAGGCCATGTGTAGGACAGTTATCAACACCTATGATCACTGGGCAGTTATACACACCTATGATCACTGGGCAGTTATACACACCTATGATCACTGGGCAGTTATACACACCTATGATCACTGGGCAGTTATACCCACCTATGATCACTGGGCAGTTATACCCACCTATGATCACTGGGCAGTTATACCCACCTATGATCACTGGGCAGTTATACCCACCTATGATCACTGGGCAGTTATAAACACCTATGATCACTGGGCAGTTATACCCACCTATGATCACTGGGCTGTTATACCCACCTATGATCACTGGGCAGTTATAAACACCTATGATCACTGGGCAGTTATACACACCTGCTCTGCTCTGCTCTGTCCTCAAACCACCTCTCCAGAGCGTGTGTGTGTGTGTGTGTGTGTGTGCACATGTGTGTTTTGTATGTATGCTTGTGTGTTTTGTGTGTGTGTGTGTGCACGTGTGTGTTTTGTGTGTGTGCGTGTGTGTTTTGTGTGTGTGTGTGTGTGTGTGTGTGCACGTGTGTGTTTTGTGTGTGTGCGTGTGTGTTTTATGTGTGTGTGTGTGTGTTTGTGTGTCAGCCTGACTGAGCCTGAGAGTGAGTGTGTAGCTGGGACTTGGATAGGGTAGGGGCATTATGGGCCAGGTGTCTGTGAATGAAGCAACCCTGATGACAGAAGAGAGCAGGCTGTGTTCTCACACAGGGAGAAATGACAGGTCCCAACAAAGTTACAGTGGTGCGCGCACACACACACACACATGCACACACACATGCACACACACACACACACACACACACACACACACACACACACACACACACACACACACACACACACACACACACACACACACACACGCACACGCACACGCACACGCACACATACAAACACACATGCACACACACACACACACACACACGCGCACACACAAACACACACGCACACACACACGCGCACACACACACGTGCGCACACACACACACGCACAAACATGCACGCACACACACACACACACACGCACACACACACACACACGTAAGCACACACACAAACACAAAGACATAATGTTGTGCACACGCAACCACAGCCAATAAACTAGCTCCGAGGTTGATGCAGAGACTGTGTGCTTATCAGTAACTGCTGGCTGAATTCAGAGACAGATTGATTTGATTCAATTTCCACTAGATTATACACTTTCAATTACGCTGTGAAACTGCCAGGCACTTCTTTTTTAATCTTCCCCCGGTGCAGCTAGCGAGTGGCTGAGGGCGGGGGGGCGGGCTCTCACGCTGTTTATTAGTTAGAGCTGTGATTAGGCCAACACCCTCAGGCAGTGTTCAGTCATGTCAATAGTGCTGAACACATCCATGGCTGGGTGTTCTGGGCTGAGGATGAAGCTGTATCAGCTGTCATGTCAATAGTGCTGAACACATCCATGGCTGGGTGTTCTGGGCTGAGGATGAAGCTGTATCCGCTGTCATGTCAATAGTGCTGAACACATCCATGGCTGGGTGTTCTGGGCTGAGGATGAAGCTGTATCAGCTGTCATGTCAATAGTGCTGAACACATTGATGGCAGGGTGTTCTGGGCTGAGGATGAAGCTGTATCAGCTGTATGTAACAGAAACAGCCCAGAGAGGAGGAAAATACTTCTAATTACGGCTAATGGTCTTTATGTAAACAGAGTTGCAGTTTGCTGTTGTGCTAATCAGACCATGCTGTAACGTTGGCCTTACTGATCTTTTCAGGGCCTGGCTAATCATCCTTACTGATCTTTTCAGGGCCTGGCTAATCATCCTTACTGATCCCTTCAGGGACTGGCTAATCATCCTTAGTGATCCCTTCAGGGCTTGGCTAATCATCCTTACTGATCCATTCAGGGCTTGGCTAATCATCCTTACTGATCCCTTCAGGGCCTGGCTAATCATCCTTACTGATCCCTTCAGGGCCTGGCTAATCATCCTTACTGACCCCTTCAGGGCCTGGCTAATCATCCTTACTGATCCATTCAGGGCCTGGCTAATCATCCTTACTGATCCATTCAGGGCCTGGCTAATCATCCTTACTGATCCCTTCAGGGCCTGGCTAATCATCCTTACTGATCCATTCAGGGCCTGGCTAATCATCCTTACTGATCCATTCAGGGCCTGGCTAATCATCCTTACTGATCCATTCAGGGCCTGGCTAATCATCCTTACTGATCCATTCAGGGCCTGGCTAATCATCAGCCTACTGGCCAAATGTCCAATGTGATGTTGTTGGCAGATGGTAGAAACTGAAGAGTTAGTTAAACATGAGTCAACATATGATCATAACCCACACAGACCCATGGTTTTACTATCCCCTTCTCTGTCCATCACTATAAGCTGACTGAAGCTCCATCCACCCTACACGCTCAGCCAGTCAGAGATATCAAACACACAATCACTTCCTCCACCATATACTGTAACTATCTACAGGGAAAGTGCAGATAGATATATGGTGGAGGCAGTGGGCCCATCAAGGTCAGCCCTCCACTGCTCTACTCAGCAGCAGCAGGGGTGTGATTGATACTGCTGCTCCCTGCACTACACCCTGCATTAAATCTAATTGGTGGCTGGCCTCGAACGCTATATAAATCAGATAGAGAGGGAACATTTCCACTCCCTCAGTGCTGCAGAGACCAACTTTCCTCTTTATCAAAATGTTTTTTCATTTCATCATAGTAGTGAGTGTTTGTTCTACTGGCTGATCTTACTCGATAGGATCCTAATAAATGTTGTGCTGCTTGACAAATGAACCAAGACTAATTCCGGGTCTCGCTTCATTAAGTGTTAGAACAACCGCAGTTTGCTGATTTGGAGTTTAAATCGCTATTGGTGAAACAACAGGGGCCAAATCAATCAATGTGAGGTTTAAACAAACATTGATATAGTATCAAATACATTGATGAACATAACTGCACAATCTCACTCACACATGTAAAACACAAACACACACACACACACATATATAACCAGTTCCACTCACAGTGATTCGTTCATCTCTGTCATCGATGTTGGCACCGTCCTTCTTCCAGGATATGCTAGGTTCAGGATGCCCGCGAGGGGGCATACACTCTAGGACTGCAGGCTCGCCCGCTGCCACCATCACATCAGCAGGGTTCTGTCTGAAGTCATCGCGTAGTACTGTGGACAGAGAGGAAGATAAAGGGTTAACGTGAGGTCAGCACCGGCAGAGATTAGCTATGATACCAAGGGTATAATAACACTAAAACCAGTCACTCCAGTTAGACAGGAAAGTAGATTTGACATGCCTCGCTCAGATGCAATGCGTCATCTACAGACCACAACACTGATCTACAGCAACAACATAATGACAAGAGGAAACCGCCACAGTGTTACCATAGCCTATAATTGGGGACTGTCACTGATACGTCACAACGTAGACCTGGCCGCAGTGACCACTTCTATCAGAGTAGACTATAAAGAACCAAGGACTGTCATAACATGAACGGCTGGACCACTGGCCACAGCTTGTGTGTCATCCCCTACCCACAAGGCCTTGTTGACAATGCGCTCTACACCAAGGGTGATAAAACATGTGTGCATCCACACATAAGAATGGCTTTGACCTACCATCTCCCCCTTTACCACGTCACACTCTCTCTCTGTGTCAGCCTAATGACATGGGGTATAAGACACGCCTCCAGACACACACATAATCCCCTCCTCATCATCGGTCTTCATCACATATCACTTTCACTTCCTGTTTACACATATAACCCTGACACTGGCTGATGTATCCTGCAGTTGCATTACAACTCGTCTACAGGTATTCCCACTTCAAACACCACTTTTGGACATGATTTTCATCTGTATTGATTTTCTGGGAAGCGCTGTAATGTAAAAATATAACACACCCCTCGCTGGCATCAAACCCACTCTTATAGACACTCAGAGATGCATTTTCCCAGATAAAAAGCCCATTAGTGTGGGGGTATAGGAGCCGTCTGTCTAATAGATAAGGACAACAGTGCTGAGCTAATGTGACAGAGGGAAATGCAGTTTTAAGAGGAACAAATGATCCGTGAGCTGTCTCATTCAGCCTGACTACACAGCATCATATAAACACTACGGCCATTAGAGACAGTGTTCTTTATCTAGACTATATGAATAGAACACAAACAACATCCTATACTCTACAAAGTGCAACACTTTTGACTAGAGTTCTCATCAAAAGTAGTGCACTAAGCACTCTATGAAAGGCATTCCAAAGTAACTCTATCCAGTAACAATTGGAATATTATATACAGTACCAGTCAAAAGTTTGGACACACCTACTCATTCAAAGGTTTTTCTTCATTTTTACTATTTTCTACATTGTAGAATAATAGTGAAGACATCAAAACTATGAAATAACACATATGGAATCATGTAGTAACCAAAAAATTGTTAAACAAATCAAAATATATTTTATATTTGAGATTCTTCAAATAGCCACCCTTTGCCTTGGCGACAGCTTTGCACACTCTTGGCATTCTCTCAACCAGCTTCACCTGGAATACTTTTCTAACAGTCTTGAAGGAGTTCCCACATATATTGAGCACTTGTTGGCTGCTTTTCCTTCACTCTGCCGTCCGACTCATCCCAAACCATATCAATTGGGTTGAGGTCGGGGGATTGTGGAGGCCAGGTCATCTGATGCAGCACTCCATTACTCTCCTTCTTGGTAAAATAGCCCTTACACAGCCTGGAGGTGTGTTGGGTCATTGTCCTGTTGAAAAACAAATGATAGTCCCACTAAGCCTAAACCAGATGGGATGGCATATCGCTGTAGAATGCGGTGGTAGCCATGCTGGTTAAGTGTGCCTTGATTTTAAATACATCACAGGCAGTGTCACCAGCAAAGCACCCCCACACCATAACACCTCCTCCTCCATGCTTTACGGTGGGAACGACACATGCAGAGATCATCCATTCACCCACACCGCGTCTCACAAAGACACGACGGTTGGAACCAAAAATCTCAAATTTGGACTCCAGACCAAAGATCAAATTTCCACCGGTCTAATGTCCATTGCTTGTGTTTTTTGGCCCAAGTAGGTCTCTTCTTCTTATTGGTGTCCTTCAGTAGTGGTTTCTTTGGAGCAATTTGACCAAAAAATGCCTGATTCACACAGTCCCCTCTGAACAGTTGATGTTGAGATGTGTCTGTGACTTGAACTCTGTAAAGCATTTATTTTGGTTGCAATTTCTGAGGCTGGTAACTCCAATGAACTTATCCTCTGCAGCAGAGGTAACTGGGTCACAACACAACTGATTGACTCAAACACATTAAATTCCACAAATTAACCTTTAAGAAGGTTAAATGAAATGCATTTCAGGTGACTACCTCATGAAACACTTTTTTGGTTACTACATGATTCCATATATGTTATTTCATTGTTTTGATGTCTTACCTGTTATTCTACAATGTAAAAAATAGTAAAAAATTCAGAAAAATCCTTGAATGAGTAGGTGTGCCCAAACCTTTGACTGGTAGTGTATGTCACAGCAGCATTGTAAAGCTGAAACAGGACAGTGGTGGCCTGCTATCAGAGGGTCAGAGCCTAGCTAAAGCCTCTCTGCCTCCCCACCGGTAGTGTTAAAGATAAACTGGAGAGATTTACGAGAGGAAAGAAGGTAATGAAAAACCAACAACCTCCCATCTACAGACGGTGTTCCAGTAATCACTTTCCCAGCTCGGGTGTATCTGTCTGTGCACACACATAAAAAAACATGTTCTCATAAACTACAGGCTGAAATTCTAGTCAGCCTAAAGTATGCAAGGTCAGCACAATGTGTGCCTATGTATGACGGTGTTTATGATTGTTTATATATGTGAGCCACACATGTGTGTGTACGTGTCTCTACTCATGTGTGTGTGTGGGTATGTGTCTGTGTGTTTGTCTGTGTGTGAGCATGTGTATACACACATGTGAATGTGTGTGTGGAATACGACCAGAACCTTCTCCTCTCCACCATCTCGTTGTCTCACTCCCCTGAACCTGCTCCTAGTCACCATGGTGCACCTCATCCACTTCCTTTACCCAACACAGTCCCTGAACCTGCTCCTAGTCACCATGGTGCACCTCATCCACTTCCTTTACCCCACACAGTCCCTGAACCTGCTCCTAGTCACTGTGGTGCACCTCCTCCTCCTCCCTCCACCCAACTCCCCCTGAACATGCTTCTAGTCACCTCCTCCCCCTCCCTCCGCCCCACACAGATCAAAGACAGGCTCACGCCAGGAAACACCAACCTCCTGACAGCCAACAAATTCCTGCCTAAACCCTTTAAGGACTTAATTGGCCATCGCTGCACTGAGCTGAGATACCCCTCTCTCTCTGTGCCTACTTCTTGCAACTTCCCAGCATGAGGGAGGGGGTTTATGTACGGCAAAGTGGAGGGGAACCCAATCCCCCTGTAGGAAATGGCTTTCAGAGGGAGATCTATGGGAGGTAATGGTTTCTCCAGGCTTCTCTAGCTAATCAGGCCCAACACCTTCTCATGTACAGCAGCATAACACTGTATGACCCCCATTACAACGCAGGTCTCCACATGTGGTATCCCTGACTCTAAAGCAATGGGATTTGTATATTTCTTATCACTTGTCGATAGGCAGAAGCGTTGTTGATACCAATATGATAACCTCCATGGAAGTGCAGGTGTGCAAAAGGAATGTAAAGTATTTATTTATTTATAGCTAGGCAAAATACTCCTACTCCTCCACATAGCCTAACAACCCTCCAGCTGTGGTGAATGTGCTCAAGAGCACAGGTCAAAACAGACAGGGTCGTTCTGCTCAGAAGGAGGAGGACATAAACATCAGCTTCATTAGAACACTGGCTCCATCTGTACAGGAACACTGGCTCCATCTGTACAGGCAAGGCCAGCCAGATCGACATATCCTGATCAGAGATGTTGTGTGAGTCAAAGCCTGTAAAAGCGCCACAAGGCCCTCCCACTGAAATATAACTATTCACACTCCAAACATTAGCAAGGCTACATAAAGAGAGACACACTCCTCAGCTAGAAAACACTAGAGGAGAGGAGACTAGAGAACACTGGAGGAGAGGAGACTAGAGAACACTGGAGGAGAGGAGACTAGAGAACACTGGAGGAGAGGAGACTAGAGAACACTAGAGGAGAGGAGACTAGAGAACACTGGAGGAGAGGAGACTAGAGAACACTAGAGGAGAGAAGACAAGAGGAGAGGAGACTAGAGGACACTGGAGCAGAGGAGACTAAAGGAGAGGAGACTAGATAATACTGGAGGAGAGGAGACTAAAGGAGAGGAGACGAGAGGAGACTAGGAACACTGGAGGAGAGGAGACTAGATAACACTAGAGGAGAAGAGACTAGATAACACTGGAGGAGAGGAGACTAGAGAACACTGGAGGAGAGGAGACTAGAGAACACTGGAGGAGAGGAGACTAGAGAAAACTGGAGGAGAGAAGACAAGAGGAGAGGAGACTAGAGGACACTGGAGCAGAGGAGACTAAAGGAGAGGAGACTAGATAATACTGGAGGAGAGGAGACTAAAGGAGAGGAGACGAGAGGAGACTAGGAACACTGGAGGAGAGGAGACTAGATAACACTAGAGGAGAAGAGACTAGATAACACTGGAGGAGAGGAGACTAGAGAACACTGGAGGAGAGGAGACTAGAGAACACTGGAGGAGAGGAGACTAGAGAAAACTGGAGGAGAGAAGACAAGAGGAGAGGAGACTAGAGGACACTGGAGCAGAGGAGACTAAAGGAGAGGAGACTAGATAATACTGGAGGAGAGGAGACTAGATAACACTAGAGGAGAAGAGACTAGAGAACACTGGAGGAGAGGAGACTAGAGAACACTAGAGGAGAAGAGACTAGAGAACACTGGAGGAGAGGAGACTAGAGAAAACTGGAGGAGAGGAGACTAGATAACACTGGAGAAGAGGAGACTAGATAACACTGGAGGAGACTAGAGAACACTGGAGGAGAGGAGACTAGATAACACTGGAGGAGACTAGAGAACACTGGAGGAGAGGAAACTAGAGAGACTTATAACTGGATTCTCTCTGGGGCTGGAGAGAGATGGAGAGAAGGAGAGAGGAAGGCAAGTGAGAGCTGGCATCCTCTAGTGTTTACAACAACACAACCCAGTGACCTCCACTCCTCTTCTACATCCCACACTCCCCCGCCTGGCTCACTGTCCTCTCTCCTCCCCCCGACACCCTTCCTCCACAAACACAGCTGACTACTGCACATCACACAGTGCAGCGGACAACCCTGGCCACCTGCATGGGGAGAAACATAATCTTACGAGAGAGAGAAGTGGAGAGGGGGAAAGAAATAAAGAAAGAGAGAGAAAAATGGATGAGGGAGCAAGCCTCTAACTCTTTCGCCAGAACCTCAGTCAGATCCGTATGCTTGCCAAGAGAGAATGCTCCTGGTCTCCTGGTCCCTCTGTGAGCTCCTCTGTCCCTGTTCTGATTGGAACGGGAGGGAGGGAGGCCCCTGCTGTATGCTGTCCTGTATGTTTTTGGGGTAATGAGCCTCCAATACCATTCTGTTTCTGCCTCCCTCCCTCTCGTGAGCCGACAGCTGTCCCCTACCAGATAATGTTTCCTGGGCCATTAACAGGCACAGTGTGAATGGCTGTGTGTACGTGTGTGACCTGCCTGTCTTAATATGTGGGTCACACAGGTTCCAGCATGAAGACTCCTCTTTGTCCTTCCTGGCTTTACTCACTGTGCTGCTGATGTGATGATGGGAGCTAACAGCATGACTGCCAGTCAGTCAGTCAGTGTCTTTCTAAGGGCATTGGAAGGTATTCTCTATGGCTATAAACTATCTATACTGAACAAAAATATAAACTCAACATGAAACAATTTAAAAAGATTTTACAGTTCATAGAAGGAAATCAGTCAATTGAAATACATGAATTAGGCCCTAATCTATGGATTTCTCATGACTGGGCAGGGGCGCAGACATGGGTGGGCCAGGGGGTGCCAGGCCCAGCCAGGCCCAGCCAATCAGAATGAGTTTTTCCCCACAAATGACTTTATTACAGACAGACATTCTCTAAAATGACATTGGAGGTGGCTTATGGTAGAGAAATGAACATTCAACTCTCTGGCAACAACTTTGTTGGACATTCCTGCAGTCAGCATGCCAATTGCACGCTCCCTAAAAACTTGAGACATCTGTGGCAATGTGTTGTGTGACAAAACTGCACATTTTAGATTGGCCTTTTATTGTCCCCAGCACAAGGTGCACCTGTGTAATGATCATGCTGGTTAATGAGGTTCTTGATATGACACACCTGTCAGGTGGATGAATTATCTTGGCAAAGGAGAAATGCTCACTAACAGGAATGTAAACAAATTTGTGCACAACATTTGAGAGAAATAAGCTTTTTGTGTGTATGGAACATTTCTGGGATCTTTTATTTCAGTTCATGAAACATGGGACCAACACTTTACATGTTGCATTTATATTTTTGTTCAGTATATAAACTGTAAACATGGAACCCCTGCTACTATCTTTTTACAAAACAACATTGTCCACAATAAAATATGTCTTACAGAAATAGTGTGTGTTGATCAATCTACTATCTTTCCCTTTTCAGAATGGTGTATCAATGTGTTTCAATTAGTTGTTGATTAAGAGAAAACTCTCATCTTATCAGGACTGCTCCCTATCATTTTGACAGACAGCTGGCTGAGGAGAGAGCAGCCATTGGTAGGATGCTGCAAGGCTTCTGTCTGGTCTACAGTGGGAAACATCTTCAAGGCTTCTGTCTGGTCTACAGTGGGAAACATCTTCAAGGCTCTGTCTGTCTACAGTGGGCAAACATCTTCAAGGCTTCTGTCTGTTACAGGGGAACATCTTCAAGGCTTCTGTCTGGTCTACAGTGGGAAAAATCTTCAAGGCTCTGGTCTGGTCTACAGTGGGAAACATTCGTCAAGGCTTCTGTCTGTCTACAGTGGGAAACATCTTCAAGGCTTCTGTCTGGTCTACAGTGGGAAACATCTTCAAGGCTTCTGTCTGGTCTACAGTGGGAAACATCTTCAAGGCTTCTGTCTGGTCTACAGTGGGAAACATCTTCAAGGCTTCTGTCTGGTCTACAGTGGGAAACATCTTCAAGGCTTCTGTCTGGTCTACAGTGGGAAACATCTCAAGGTCTATGTATGGTCTACAGTGGGAAACATCTTCAAGGCTTCTGTCATGCGTCTACAGTGGGAAACATCTCAAGGCTTCTGTCTGGTCTACAGTGGGAAACATCTCAAGGCTTCTGTATGGTTACAGTGGGACAACTCTTCAAGGCTCTGTCTGGTTACAGTGGGAAAACATCTTCACGCTTCGTCTGGTCATACAGGGGGAACATCTTCAAGGCTTCTGTCTGGTCTACAGTGGGGAAACATCTCAAGGCTTCTGTCTGGTCTACAGTGGGAAACATCTCAAGGCTTCTGTCTGGGTCTACGTGAGGAAACATCTCAAGGCTTCTGTCTGGTCTACAGTGGGGACACATCTTCAAGGCTTCTGTATGGTCTACAGTGGGAAACATCTCAAGGCTTCTGTCTGGTCTACAGTGGGGTGGCAATGTTTGTGTGACAAACTCAACATCTTTAGATTGGCCTTTTCATGGACCCAGGCACAAGTGCCTGTGTATGACATGCTGGTTAATTGAGGTTCTTTGTATGAACACCAGCCTGTCAGGTGATGAATTATCTTGGCAAGGCTGAATGCTCACTACAGGGAAATTAAACAATTTGTGGCAACATTTGAGAGAAATAAGCTTTTTGTGTGTATGGAACATTTCTGGACTTTTATTCATTCGTGAACATGGGACCAACACTTTCAACTTCTGTTGTCATATAATTTTTTTCAGTATCTAACTGGTAAACATGGAACACCCTGCAGCTATCTTTTTACAAACATCAACTTGTCGCACATAAAATAGGCTGTCTTACAATCAGTGTGTGTGATCATCTACTATCTTCCTTTCAGATGGTGTACAATTGTTTCAATTAGTTGTTGATTAAGGGAAACTCTCAACTCTCTTATCAGGACGGCTCACCTATCTTTTAGACCAACCTTCTGTCTGGTCTACAGTGGGAAACATCTTCAAGGCGCTGTCTGGTCTAGATCTGCCTCTACTGTAACTGTACAGACCTGACGAATCACTCCCCAGGTCCACAGTAGCACACTAGGGCTGAGCACAGGCTAACTCAAATAACTATGATCATCTCTTATAGTGGACACTCCCTTAGAGAAGGTCTTCAACTAGCCCTCTTTGCTCCCCAAACCCATGGGTTCTCCTCTCCCACCCTCTCTTTCTTCCCTGGGAAATTGAAACCAGATGCTGAAATGTCAAATTAAAAAGAGATTCCAGTGCGCTTTTGACATTAATGAACTTAATGCGGCACACAAGCCTGAATGGGATGATCAAATGAGCTTTGTTCAGAGGAAATTAAAGGGATTACAGTAAGCTCCCCCCACAAATCTGCACGTGTATTAAAGAAAGACCCATTGGGGAACTGAAGATTTGGCCGAAAGCATACAAAGAGAAACCTGGAAGATGCACAGGAAGCTGGATCGATCTGCCTTCGGTTTGGTCAGAGTGAACATGACTAACCACAGAAGAAGAAACTACAGACAGAGGGAACATGACTAACCACAGGAGAAGAAACAATAGTCAGAGTGAACATGACTAACCACAGGAGAAGAAACAATAGTCAGAGTGAACATGACTAACCACAGGAGAAGAAACAATAGTCAGAGTGAACATGACTAACCACAGAAGAAGAAACAATAGTCAGAGTGAACATGACTAACCACAGAAGAAGAAATAATAGTCAGAGTGAACATGACTAACCACAGAAGAAGAAACAATAGTCAGAGTGAACATGACTAACCACAGGAGAATAAACTATAGTCAGAGTGAACATGACTAACCACAGAAGAAGAAAGACAGAAAAAGGAAAAGTGTCCAAGAGCGACGGGAGAGAGGAGAGAAGGACAGAAGTGTTTTGTTGCATGTCCTGGAAGGGAAGTGAATGTGTTGTACAGTGCTGGCCACCCATCCTCTGCTCTTGTATTTACAAGGATAGTCTTGCTCATGTTAAAGTTAACAAATTGTCTTGATTTGGGGAAGGAGGGGCGCCACAATGCAGGGCTATACGTCACTGGCCAAACATGGCGGCCCATAAATAACAGAGGGATTAGAGGTGGAGCAACGGAGAGAGGAGTGAGAGACTCCACAGCAAACAATGAGAAAATATGAAATGAGTAATCGCTCCCAGATGTGCATGCTGCTACTTTAGGTTAGGGATCCTTTTGGCCTTCAATTTCAATTTAAGGGCTTTATTGGCATGGGAAACATATATTTACATAGCCAAAGCAAGTCAAATAGATAATGAACAAAAGTGAAATAAACAATAAAAAATGAACAGTAAACATTTAACTGACATTAGTCCTACTATGTGGCTCCGGACAGACCGACCACCCAGTGGAAGGCTGTGTGGACTATCACATCCATATCCTTCCCCAGAGTGATGGCTTAAACAGCAGGACGGCTCTCCACTCTCTCTCTATCCACCTCCCCTCTCTCCTCCTCCTCCTCCTCCTCCTCCTCCTCATTCATCATCACAGAACTATCTATGTTCATATTATATGACTTATTCTGATCAGGGCCTAGGACAGAGACAGATTACTATACCAAAATGCATGTTATCACTCTATCAAAGGAATGTGTCTGTTTGAATGATAAACAGTGTGTTTGGTTAGATGTAATAGAAGCAGGGTGGTTGTGGACTGGGAAGGCATTGAGGCTCTGCTAGTGAGTGTTGTTAAAGCTCTAAACCCAGGGCTGGCCTGTTCTCTGCTAGGCTGTTCTCTGCTAAGCTGTGCTGTGTAGTGAGAGCTCCCATATAGAAAGTCTCCATCTCCACCAGCACTGCCCTTTGGGTCCCACACCTCCTGCTCTTTCACTCTGTATTTCTCTATATATGTATCCCTCTCTCCCCCTCAGCAGCTGATTCCCTTCTCCTTAACCCCAGCTCCCACTCTCCCAACATTTCATATCAAAGATAGGCCGCCATCCATGGCGTGTTAAGTCCTGCCTCCCCAAACCCCAGGCTGGTTGGGGCAGTACAGATGGAGCAAATTTGCCAAAGGCAGAGTGTGGGTGTAAGTGTGATGTGTGTGAAAAAGTGTGTGTGTTAAACCCCTCTCACAGCCCCACGGCTGTTTTCTCCTCCTATCTCCCTCCTTCCCTCCCTCCATCCCTCTCCCTCCTTCCCTCCTGACCCCACCACCAGAGAGATGAGATTGGACATGGCAGCTTCCTCTTTCTCTCTCTATTTCTCTCGTTCCTGTGCTGTGAGCTCATGCCCTCTCTCCTCTCTTCCTCCTCACAGACATCCTATACCTCAGTGCTCAGGTCCCAGGGAGCATGCCCATTAGAGCAGTGAGGACTAGAGGTCCTGGGGTTATGGACATGACAGGACTAGAGGTCCTGGGGTTATGGACATGACAGGGCTAGGGGTCCTGGGGTTATGGGCATGACAGGACTAGGGGTCCTGGGGTTATGGGCATGACAGGACTAGGGGTCCTGGGGTTATGGACATGACAGGACTAGAGGTCCTGGGGTTATGGACATGACAGGACTAGAGGTCCTGGGGTTATGGACATGACAGGGCAAGAGGTCCTGGGGTTATGGACATGACATGGCTAGGGGTCCTGGGGTTATGGACATGACAGGGCTAGGGGTCCTGGGGTTATGGACATGACATGGCTAGGGGTCCTGGGGTTATGGACATGACAGGGCAAGAGGTCCTGGGGTTATGGACATGACATGGCTAGGGGTCCTGGGGTTATGGACATGACAGGGCTAGAGGTCCTGGGGTTATGGACATGACAGGACTAGGGGTCCTGGGGTTATGGACATGACAGGGCTAGGGGTCCTGGGGTTATGGCCATGACAGTATGCTGAAGATCTGTAGAATAGATACAAACAGACAGGAAGAGAGAATAGAGAACTCCAGCAGAGTGGGAAGGGAGTGCACCCGTGATGTATGGACACTACATATGCTTGAGCGAGTGGGTTGCTTAAGTGGTCTTAAGTTTAATAAAGTCAACTTTCAACACCACTCACAAGAGCTTATGCAACATTGTCCCTTACTATATTCTCCATGAATGAAACCAGTCCACAGAGTGGCATTGGTTACAAACTGTCTACCACAAGACCCCCGCGGACTGACAGTAAATATGTAACAATGAGCTGATGAAGACATGTAGTATTAACAAGCCTTTAGGATCTGCACCTGTATGCCACAGGAGTCTGCTGACGGTAGAACGGCTCATAATAATGGCCCTAACGGCGCAAATGGAATGGCATCAAACACCTGGAAACCATGTGTTTGATTTATTTGATAACATTCCACCAATTCCGCTCCAGTCATTACCATGAGCCTGTCCTCCCCAATTAAGGTGCCACCAACCTCCTGTCCTGTATACTCTGAATACGGTGAGGTAATTGAGATGAGACAAAACGTATGTGTTTTTGCTAAGTGGGATGCATGGGACGACACAACTCTGACGTCACCCTATTGAAGTTGATAAGGGTTAAGGTTAGGGTTAGGGTTATGGTAAGGGTTTGGGTCGGGTCAGCCCAAGGATCCCCCTTAGCATTTACCAAAACCACTGTGGGAGCAGACTGAGTGATGTCATAGAGAGGGGACAGGATGTCCAAATTAACTATGTTAATTATCTATGTTAACTATGTCGCTCCCTTTGTAAATAAACAAGTCATGGGTAAATGTGACCCAAAATATTATGTTACTATCAATATTTTGACGATCATAGATATCCATATTGATATAATAAATTATTTTACTTTTTTTTTTTTATTATTGTATGGACAAAGTCATCTGTCATCTTCTTCCAAGCATCTGTCTATGTCTAATCATTTCCCTCTCTGCTGTGAGTGTGGTGATGGTTTTGAGAGCGGGATGGGCACCTGGAATGTGTTGTGAGAGTGTTTCCAGTCAAAGCCCAGGGCTGGTACCCTGCATGGAAGATGGCTGCCCGCGCCCTTCTGTCACATAGCAGAGGGCATCTCCACACTAGTCAGGCATACAGCGAGGCTGGAGAGAGACCAGGGAGGAGGGGGACTGGCAGACTGCAAACCTGGCTCATACCACCTCATCTCTTTAGCCCCCCACCATTACAACGCAAGCACGCACAAACGTGCACACACACACACACACACACACACGCACGCACACAGACAGAGCGAGAGAGAGGAAACCCTGCCCCACGGTCCTGCAGAAAGACAGAGAGGCCATTGAGTGACTGTGTTTGTTTAAATGGTCATTAAGTGTTCTCTTCAGGCTGGTGGTACAGAGAGATGGTGTTGGGTTGGGTGGACACAGGGAGAGGAAGGGAGAGATGGTGTTGGGTTGGGTGGACACGGGGAGAGGAAGGGAGAGATGGTGTTGGGTTGGGTAGACACGGGGAGAGGCAGGGAGAGATGGTGTTGGGTTGGGTGGACACAGGGAGAGGAAGGGAGAGATGGTGTTGGGTTGGGTGGACACGGGGAGAGGAAGGGAGAGATGGTGTTGGGTTGGGTAGACACAGGGAGAGGCAGGGAGAGATGGTGTTGGGTTGGGTGGACACAGGGAGAGGAAGGGAGAGATGGTGTTGGGTTGGGTGGACACGGGGAGAGGAAGGGAGAGATGGTGTTGGGTTGGGTAGACACGGGGAGAGGCAGGGAGAGATGGTGTTTGGGTTGGGTGGACACAGGGAGAGGAAGGGAGAGATGGTGTTGGGTTGGGTGGACACGGGGAGAGGAAGGGAGAGATGGTGTTGGGTTGGGTGGACACGGGGAGAGGAAGGGAGAGATGGTGTTGGGTTGGGTGGACACGGGGAGAGGCAGGGACAGATGGTGTTGGGGTTGGGGTAGACACGGGGAGAGGCAGGGACAGATGGTGTTGGGTTTGGGTGGACACGGGGAGAGGCAGGGACAGATGGTGTTGGGTTGGGTGGACACGTGGAGAGGAAGGGACAGATGGTGTTGGGTTGGGTAGACACGGGGAGAGGAAGGGAGAGATGGTGTTGGGTTGGGTGGACACGGGGAGAGGCAGGGACAGATGGTGTTGGGTTGGGTGGACACGGGGAGAGGCAGGGACAGATGGTGTTGGGTTGGGTGGACACGGGGAGAGGCAGGGACAGATGGTGTTGGGTTGGGTGGACACGTGGAGAGGAAGGGAGAGATGGTGTTGGGTTGGGTAGACACGGGGAGAGGAAGGGAGAGATGGTGTTGGGTTGGGTGGACATGGGGAGAGGAAGGGAGAGATGGTGTTGGGTTGGGTAGACACGGGGAGAGGCAGGGAGAGATGGTGTTGGGTTGGGTGGACACGGGGAGAGGAAGGGAGAGATGGTGTTGGGTTGGGTGGACACGGGGAGAGGAAGGGAGAGATGGTGTTGGGTTGGGTGGACACTGGGAGAGGAAGGGAGAGATGGTGTTGGTTGGGTGGACACGGGAGAGGCAGGGAAGATGGTGTTGGGTTGGGTGGACACGGGGAGAGGCAGGGACAGATGGTGTTGGGTTGGGTGGACACGGGGAGAGGAAGGGAGAGATGGTGTTGGGTTGGGTGGACACGGGGAGAGGCAGGGAGAGATGGTGTTGGGTTGGGTGGACACGGGGAGAGGCAGGGAGGGCAGAGGGCCGAGGAAGGCAGGTTTATATGAGTGACTAAGTGACTGAGTGACTTGGCACCTTTTAGTTCAATAAACAGAGGCTGTTTGATTGGAGTGCTGGGTAGTGGTAGCTGAACTAAAATAAAGAAAGTGTTTTGTTTTTCCAGGGCTGGGGTACTAGCAGGAATGTAAGCCTACCCTTACAATGCTCTCCACTGAAAGATAATTGAATTTAGAAAGCAGCAACAGCATCACAGTAAGAAGACCTGCCACCGGGCAAACTATGTAACAAACATCTGCAGCAGATTATCACGTTTACATTTTATGATAGAAAAAACACAAGAGAAACAGTTTACGGGCCATTTCCTGAACAGTCAGCTCCTACGGTACATATCTGCAAGTGATTAACAGGCAGTTTGGAGCTGGAAGGGAACCTGTTACCCGTTAGTTACCTGTTGTGGAAACACACAGTTAGGTACTATGGTTACCAGCCGCTCTCATTAATGTGTATACAGTACTTTCCTCATCAGGGATTGGCTGAGGTGAAGCCAATGCTCCGTTTACACAACTTGATCCAATAGCATTCCTCCTGATGGCACTCTGGGGAGATTCACAGAGTCATTAAACAATAACCAGGATAAAGGGATGGTAAATAAGTACCTTCATACAAATACAACCTTTGATACTACATTGTCCAAACAGGTAGATCTGTCTATAAATAAAGACAAGTGTGTACATTCAGTATGATGTGTTCTTATCTAACCTGCTGAGCTGGGCTCTATAAGCAACAGTCAGTATAACTCATGTTATCAGTAAATCTGGGTAAATGTCTCTTCT